GCTCCGCTAGCACACTCGAGCTGCTGCACGGCGGTCGTTGAGAACGGAGGTACGGTTGGGTTGTCCAGACCCCAATCTGCTTCAGGCGCCCTCCTGCTTCAAGAATGGGTATGCTTTTGCTGTGCTTTGCTGTTCTCTGGGAGGGCCTGGACCCCAATCCACTTTGTCCGCCTTCCTCCTCCTTCCGCCGACCGATGGGCACTTGATCAGATTCAGGATGCGGGGGCGAACGATCGAGGCGAACTCCGTGTCCATTTTGGAGACTCGTGACGATCAGTCACTGCCCGCTCTTGCGACTCCGTCCTGCGCAGCACCTCGAGCCTGAAGCGGAGGGCCGCCGCCGCCGTCTCCTCCTTCGCGATCCTCGGGATCGTTTCCTCCCGAGCTTGCTTGGCCCCGAATGCGCTCGTCTCCTCGCCCTCCTGGCCCCTGGCTGCGCCGCGCTCCGGCGTGCACTGGAAGGCTGCCAAGAACACGCGGATGTAAGGAGAGCCGCGGGCCCTGTACCGGTCCTGGGACGTGTTGACGCGTTGTCCGATCGTAATGGCTTCTTCCTCCTCCTCCTCCTCCTCCTCTTCCTCCTCCTCCTCCTCCGCCTCCTCCGCCTCCCTCCTCCTTCTCCTCCTCCTCCTCCACCTCCTCCTCCTCCTCCTCCTCCTCCTTCCTCCTCCTCCTCCTCCTCCTCCTCTCCTCCTACTCTCCATCTCCTCCTCCCCTCCCCCTCCACCTCCTCCTCCACCTTCTCCTCCTCCTCCAACTCCTCCCCCTCCCCCTCCTCCACCCCCTCCTCCTCCTCCTCCTCCTCCTCCTCCTCCTCCTCCTCCTCCTCCTCCTCCTCCTCCTCGGGTCGCCTACGGCCCCGGGGGAAACCGTGCATTTGCGACGCTCCTCGCACTCCTTGCCAGCCGCATGCATGGCCGCGAGGACCCCCCGCGCAAGTGGCAGCCTGAGCGTGACGCGGCACACGCACGCCACTGCCTGAAGCTCTGCCACGGCGCGAGCTGGCGCGAGCACTAAGCGATCGATGGCGTGGAGCAGCTTCATGAGCTCGTCCTTGTTGTTCTTGCCGTAAGTCGGGCCCGTCCTTCTCCAGGAAGAATATTCAAACATAGTCAAAAATGATTGGGGGACGGTCTTTGACTACTGCTGATATGTTTGAGCTTGTTTTGAATATTTGTATTGTTCGTGTAGAATCCCCCTGTAGGGGGACATGCCCGACCTACTTCTTGCCCCCCGTGCGAGCCTGCTTTGCCGCCGGCGCCGCGTCTGCGTCCCCACCGCCGCCACCGGTGGCACCTTCGGGTCGGCGGGCTGAGCCACGAGGGCATCCTCACCGACATCCTCTCCGCACTCTCTGCCAGAGTCAAGTCGGGCCTGTCCCTCTACAGGAGGAATATTCGAAAATAGTCAAAAAATAGTCTGGGGACGATTTTCGTGAGTATTTTTTAATCCATTTTGGGGGCATGTTTTGACCATGTTTAATTTTTCGTCCAACATCCCCCTGTAGGAGGACAGGCCCGACTTAATGCCAGAGGGCGGTTTGGGCGCGGACTTCAGAATGGTCGGAAGATGGCTGCCGAGATCACCAAAATGAGATCGGGGAGTTCCCACGCGTCGTGAGAACTGATCGGGTACTGAAACGACCTCGGCTCGTGCAACACTTCGTTACTCCGTGTCGCATCGACCCCTGCTCATGGAGACTTTCAAGCGGCGGGCAGCCGCGATCCCGGTTTTGAAAATCTGTCCACAGCCAAAGCATACGTTCGTCGGGTTCAGCACATGAGCGAGGTTATGGAGGTGATTTTGATGTGCGATGTGTTAAGGAGACAGGTATGAGTAGCGACCCCGGGCCCCCACACATCCCTTCCCATTCCGCCTTCACAACGCACTGAAACTGCCCTTCTCCTCGTCGTCACACCCCGTCGTCGTCGCGCGGCACAGTCACATGATTCCCCCCTAGCAGTGTCAATGTTTGCCCCTCATTTTCTCCGTTCCTCAGCACCCCTCCTCCTGCAGATGTTTAAAATCCAAGGTCGTGAAATCTGAGGCCCGCTCCGAGTCCACAAAGATTGTAAACTCCCCCAGGATCTCGTCGAGGCTGCTGGAGTCCACGATATGTGCCGATGCTCGCATGGCGGATTCCACCTGCCGCAACCCAGCAGAAGCCGCGCCCGTCGCTGTACCACGTTCCAGCTGTGGTCCGGTCGAGGCGTGCTCCCCCTCGGCGTCCCGGAAGGTGATCAAAGGGACAGGGCGTGAGCCTCAGGCAGGGCTCGTTTCGATTCCTCCAATTCGATTCGATTCGATCTCGATGACGTCCGATTCCGATTCGGATCGACTTCAGATTCCGATTTGGGGTCCGATTTCTCATTGGAGGCCTACTAGCCTGCCGATGTCCGCCGATTCGTTTTTTCTCGACTTTGGTGCCGATTTCCGCCGATCCGATTAATTTCGATCGCCGATTCGACTTATCGATTCGATTATGGGCTCTCCTGCCTCAGGGTTCCGGGTTCAGGACCAGTACCATGTGAGCCTCCTGATGCGGAGGTACAGTCCGACTCCTTGCCAATCGCCAGTATTGCAGAACCTGGGTCGCGGGCAAGCCTCCCCCTAACTGTCCTGCACGAGGCCGTCCAGTCGGCTGTAATCCGACTCCGTCAGCACGAAGGGCTCCAGTCCGCTCAGCAACGCACTGCCACCAGGTCTGGGAAGAGCTTCTGCCGCCACTTGCACGGCAACCCCAAAGACCAAATCCCCCCACTGAACGAAGGCTTGTCTAGCCGCATCGCCTCGTCGTGGAATCTCGTGGTGTCCCGTGGCCAACAGATTCAGATGAGGCCCCCAGGGTTCGAGCCAAACCGTGTTTTTGGCGGTTTCATGGGCCGCTTTTCGTTTCGCTCACGCTTCGCAGCACAGGCAGGATGAAGACAGAACGAGGGAACACGAAAACAAAACGAAAACAATAAACACTGTGTAGCCCCAGCCCCAGAGGCCCCTATCAGCGCAAGGACTCTCTGACCTTCCCCCTCAATGGGCAATGACCCCCGCCGACTCCGTTCTCGCAGAAACATCCGATCCGGCCGCGACCGATTAGCAGCGTAGAATAGCAGTGCTTGCGTGTCAGCATTCTAACCGTAACCATAGCAGCCAGAGTATTCATCAAGTGCTTCGGCCACCTAATTCAGTTTGCACAGGAAGTCCGATACAGTGCTACCCAGATCCGCAACCACGACCTTGACCAAGTCGTCTGCATATTTAATCAGGCTCACGTCCACTGATAGTCGCTGCCAGCTCGATAACAGAACTTCGGCCGAATGGTTGTGTACAAACGTTGTGTCCCCATTATGTCGTTGTTCGTCCAAGCGTCCCCAGGAACCCATGCACCGTAAAGGGGCTCCCCATCACAACTCCACACTGAGGCAGGACTGAACGGGCCGTCACAAGCCTCCAACTCGAAGATCGCGTTCCTCTGCTGTTGCCCGCCCAGATCGGCATCCTCCGAGGAGGCGCACAGTGAATGTCGTATCGAGATTCGTCCGCAACGAACTCGAACATGCATCGATGAGAATGACACGCAGTGGGTGCGACTAAGGCGTCGTACACGCCATCCAGTCTCTTGCGCTGTCAGTATAGCATTCTTCATCATCTCCCTGACGAATCCGTGACCCTTCACAGTTGCACAGGCTTGTACTTGGTGGCGAAACATGCTTTACCCACAGACAGAAGGGCCAGAAAAGGTCACGCGAGAAGACGCCAGGAACGCCTGGGGAACAGCGACAAGCCCCAGGAGGTTTCGGAATTTTAGGTCCGGGCCCCTTCAGACTCCTCAGGAGTGAGGAGTAAGGCTTAGCGGATGTGGCCCAGGACCTGAGGACACGCCCACTCCGTGCCCAGCGGCACCGTGGCAGGCTTCTGTGGCGAAAGATGTTCTGCCCACAGACGGAATGACACGAATGACCCGCTTGCCCCTTCCAACCCCTTCCACCCTCTCCACCTCAGGAGACACACACACACACCAGGGCTCATTTCGACTCCTCTAGCTCGATCTGGTTCTAGTCAGTTTTGGTCGATACGGATCCCGATTCGATTTGATTCGGATCTAGAGGCCCTCCCAGCCTGCCGGTGTCCGCCGGCTCGGCTTCTCCCGACTCGACCGCCGATCGCCGCCGACCCGCTCCCTTCCGATCGCCGACCCCGCCTGTGGATTCGATGCTGGGCCCTCGTGCGTCGCGTAAGGGGGCGGGGCGGTAGATGGGGGGGACGAAGGGAGGTGCCTCTTTTGTGCCCTGAAGGGGCCCGCAAAGAGCACGCATCACGCCGTCGGAGCACGGATCCCGCCGTCGTCGTCGGCGTCGGCGTCGTGGACGTAGTCGTCGTCGGCGGCGGCGGCGGCGGCGTCGTCGTGAAAGTTGCCGCCGTCGTAGTCGGCGTTTTGAAAGAATCGGGGGTCCGCGGGGTCCCCGCGGACCTCCGACGTCACGATTTCTTCATGACGCCGACCCCCAGAGGTCTCGACACACTCCACGGGGCCAGTTGTTCCTCGCGAGTGCTTCTTCGACGCTTCGAGAGGCCCGGCAAGGGAGCCCCAAGGACCGAAAGTAGCGGAAAACGTCGTTGCGTCGTGATTTTCTGCTGGCTCGAGGTGTCGCCCCACCGCATCCTTGGCGGCGCGCAGAGAGCGGGGTAAATTGAGGGAGGGGGGAAGGCTTCCCAGAAGGAGGCTGCTTCCCAGAGGGCGCGGGCCTTGCCTGTAGACTCGCGGAAGTCGATCGGTGTAGAGGAAGCGTGCTGCCAAATGATTGCCAGATGTTAAAAGATGTTTCAAGCATGTCTGCAACAGATGAAAGCAGTGTCAAACATTTTTAGGACATGTTCAAAACATAGTAAGCGCATCTTGAATGCAATGATCGGGTTGTTAGAGTGCCCAGTGTCATGGCATGCACAGATGTAGATGTAAGGCCCGCGCCCCCCCTCTAAGAAGCCTCCCCCCCTCCCCACATAACCCCGTGCGCAGCACCCGCGGGCCCTCCGTTCAGGTGCGCAAGAAGGACGTACAAGTGCGCGAATGCACGCTGGTTTCGAAGGTGCGCGTTGCACGATTGCTCGTATCATGCGGCCGGTCGCGCGGATCAAGGGGCCGTGTTCGTGTGCATGGTTGGGCGCGTACGTCCTCCGTGGGCTCCATATCCGTGCGCCCCGCAGGGGATGTCGAAGAAGGCCGGCCCGGCCTCGCAGCAGCAGCCGACGGGGCCCGCGGCGGGGGAAGCGCCGCGCCAGCCGCCCGCGGGGGAGGCGCGGCAGGCGGGGAGGACCGGCCACAAGTATTAGGTCGGGCCTGTCCCCTTACAGGAGGAATCTTCAAAAATCAAAAATATGGAGGAGGATGAGGAGGTATGGGGATGTTTTTTTGACAAATTCTGACTCTGTTTGACCATGTTTGGTGTACTTTAAGTTTTTCATCAAGAACCCGCCTGTAGGGAGACACTCCTGGCCTAACACAAGTATCGGGGGAGCGCGGTTTACGGGGTGTCGGCCACAAGTATTAGGTTGGGCCTGTTCCTCTACAGGAGGACTATTCAAAGATAGTTTAAAAATTGTCTGTGGACAATTTTTGGCTATATGTGAATCTTTTGGGGATTTTTACCTAACAGCGAAGACTGGTAGGTTTCTAGTGGGGTAAAAAGAGAGCAGCACATTACTCCAACATTACTCCACAGGGGGGTCTGGGCAGCCGTTGGGGAGCCGTTGGGGGGCCGTTGGGGGGCCGTTGGGGGGCCGTTGGGGATTGCCGGGGAACCTCATTTTTTGCATACAGTCACACACTTCGTGCTCTTCGACCTCCCAGAACTCCATTCTTCGACCTCCCAGAACTCCATTCCCGGGCCACATTCTGAATGCCCGGAGCCAACTGTAGGCCACTTCGTGGTCTTCGAGTTCCCAGAACTCCATTCCTGGGCCATGATTTTGAATGCCCGGAGCAACTGTAGGCCACTTCGTGTTCTTCGAGTTCCAGGAACTCCATTCCCGGGCCACATTTCGATCCCGGAAGCAACTGTAGGCCACTTCGTGGTCTTCGAGTTCCCAAGAACTCCTGGGCATGAATTTGAATGCCCGGAGCCAACTGTAGGCCATTCCCGGGCCAGATTTTGGATGCCCGGAGCCAACTGTAGGCCACTTCGTGGTCTTCGAGTTCCCAGAACTCCATTCCTGGGCCACATTTTGGATGCCCGGAGCCAACTGTAGGCCATTTCGTGCTCTTGGACTTCCCAGAACTCCATTCCTGGGTATGATTTTGAATGCCCGGAGCAAACTGTAGGCCACTTCGTGTTCTTCGAGTTCCCAGAATTCCATTCCCTGGCCACATTTTTAATGCTGAGGCAGGCTGATGCTGAGGCTGAGGCAGGCTGAGGCAGGCTGAGGCTGAGGCCGAAGCTGAAGGCAGACTCAGGCTGAGGCTGATGCAGGCTGAGGCTGAGGCTGAAGCAGGCTGAGGCTGATGCAGGCTGAGGCTGAGGCAGGCTGAGGCTGAGGCTGAGGCTGATGCAGGCTGAGGCTGAAGCAGGCTGAGACTGAAGCCGAGGCTGAAGGCAGATTGAGGCTGAGGCTGAAGCAGGCCGAGGCTGAGGCTGAGGCTGAGGCTGAGGCAGGCTGAGGCTGAGGCTGAGGCAGGCTGATGCTGAGGCAGGCTGAGGCTGAGGCTGAGGCTGATGCAGGCTGAGGCTGAGGCAGGCTGAGGCTGAGGCCGAGGCTGAAGGCAGACTGAGGCCGAGGCTGAAGCAGACTGAGGCTGAGGCTGAGGCAGGCTGAGGCTGAGGCTGAAGCAGGCTGATGCTGAGGCAGGCTGAGGCTGAGGCTGAGGCTGATGCAGGCTGAGGCTGAGGCAGGCTGAGGCTGAGGCTGATGCAGGCTGAGGCAGAGGCAGGCTGATACTGAAGCCGAAGCTGAAGGCAGATTGAGGCTGAGGCTGAGGCAGAGGCAGGCTGAGGCTGCGGCTGAGGCAGGCTGATGCTGAGGCAGGCTGAGGCTGAGGCTGAGGCTGATGCAGGCTGAGGCTGAGGCAGCCTGAGGCTGAAGCAGGCATAGAGGCTGAGGCTGAGGAAAAAAAAAAAGACAAAGGGTAAAGCGCCCGCTGAGGCCATAAGAGGCAGGATCCGCATAAGGAGACCCAAGAAAGGGCTGAATGAGCTTCCTGGGAAGGACATGCAAAGCAGGAAACCTGGCAGAAAGGCTATGAGAAAGCGTGATAAACTGGAGGCCGAGGCCGGCGGTCACGTTCGAGTCGCTCGAACGGATGCTGAGGCTGAAGCAGGCTGAGGCTGAGGCTGAGGCAGGCTGAGGCTGAGGCTGAGGCAGGCTGAGGCTGAGGCTGAGGCTGATGCAGGCTGAGGCTGAAGCAGGCCGAGGCTGAGGCCGAGGCTGAAGGCAGACTGAGGCTGAGGCTGAAGCATGCTGAGGCTGAGGCTGAGGCTGAGGCTGAGGCTGAGGCTGAGGCTGGCTGATGCTGAGGCAGGCTGAGGCTGAGGCTGAGGCAGGCTCAGGCTGAGGCAGGCTGAGGCTGAGGCTGAAGGCAGACTGAGGCTGAGGCTGAAGCAGGCTGAGGCTGAGGCTGAGGCTGAGGCCGAGGCTGAAGGCAGACTGAGGCTGAGGCGACTGCAGGCTGACTGAGGCTGGAGGCAGGCTGAGGCTGAGGACTGAGGGCATGGCTGATGGGGTGAGCAGGCTGAGGCTGAGGCTGAGGACTCATGCCGGCTGAATGGCCTGAGGCCGAGGTCCGAGGCCGGGCTGAAGGCAGACTGGATGCTGAGGCTGAAGCAGGCTGAGGGCGCGAGGCTGAAGGCAGACATGAGGCTGAGGCTGAAAGCAGGCTGGAGGGCTGAGGCAGGCTGAGCTGAGGCCGAGGCCGAGGCTGAAGGCAGACTGAGGCTGAGGCTGAAGCAGGCTGAGGCTGAGGCTGAGGAAGGCTGAGGCTGAGGCTGAGGCAGGCTGAGGCTGAGGCAGGCTGATGCTGAGCCAGGCTGAGGCTGAGGCTGAGGCTCATGCAGGCTGAGGCCGAGGCCGAGGCCGAGGCTGAAGGCAGACTGATGCTGAGGCTGAAGCAGGCTGAGGCTGAGGCTGAGGCAGGCTGAGGCTGAGGCTGAGGCAGGCTGATGCTGAGGCAGGCTGAGGCTGAGGCTGAGGCTGATGCAGGCTGAGGCTGAGGCAGGCCTGAGGCTGAGGCCGAGGCTGAAGGCAGACTGAGGCTGAGGCTGAAGCAGGCTGAGGCTGAGGCTGAGGCAGGCTGAGGCTGAGGCTGAGGCTGAGGCTGGCTGATGCTGAGGCAGGCTGAGGCTGAGGCTGAGGCTGAGGCAGGCTGAGGCTGAGGCAGGCTGAGGCTGAGGCCGAGGCTGCAGGCAGACTGAGGCTGATGCAGGAGCAGGCTGAGGCTGAGGCTGAGGCAGGCTGAAGCTGAGGCTGAGGCTGATGCTGAGGCAGGCTGAGGCTGAGGCTGAGGCTAATGCAGGCCACTGCGACTGTCATCGCGAATGCGACTACGACTGCGAGAACAGCAGAACTCTACAACTGGATTCTCATCTGAATCTTAAGGGGGATGCTTCCAGATATGCTCCTACACATCGCTGTTAGGTTGCTTTGCCGGGATATTTGGGGGTACTCTTAGTTTTTCGTTCAGAATTCTTTACGCTTCGCGTATCCCCACCAGCCCATCTCACAGCAGCAACTCTCGCGAAGCATGCCGACAGTCGTGTTTTTCAGGCGTGTGCCCGCTTGGCCCCGCATATCTCCCCTGTTCCTCCTTCCTCCCGCCTCCTTGCACATCCTCCTTGTGGGGGAGCGGGAGAAGGACGAGGCGGAGGAGGAGGGAGAGAAAGCGCTCCTCGTGATTTGAGTCGTTTGGGGTTTCTCGTCCTGGTGTGAGTCGTTCGGGCCCTTCTTCCTGGTGTGAGTCGTTCGGGCTCTTCGTGGTGTGAGTCGTTCGGGCTCTTCGTCCTGGTGTGAGTCGTTCGGGCTTCTCGTGGTGTGAGTTGTTCGGGCCCCTCATCCTGGTGTGAGTCGTTCGGGCCCCTCCTCCTGGTGTGACTCGTTCGGGCTCCTCGTGGTGTGAGTCGTTCGGGGCCCGCGTCGTGGTGTGAGTCCTTCGGGCTCCTCGTGGTGTGAGTCGTTCGGGCGCCTCGTCCTGGTGTGAGTCGTTCGGGCCCCTCCTTGTGGTGTGAGTCGTTCGGGCTCTTCGTGGTGTGAGTCGTTCGGGCCCCTCGTCCTGGTGTGAGTCGTTCGGGCTCCTCGTGGGGCCTCTTGGGGGCCTCCCTCGGGGGCCTCTTGGGGCCTCTTGGGGGCCTCTTGGGGGCCTCTTGGGGGCCTCTTGGGGGCCTCTTGGGGGCCTCTTGGGGGCCTCTTGGGGGCCTCTTGGGGCCTCGGGGGTGGGGCCTCTTGGGGGCCTCTTGGGGGCCTCTTGGGGGCCTCTTGGGGGCCTCTTGGGGCCGCTTGGGGGCCTCTGGGGGGCCTCTTGGAGGCCTCTTGGGAGCCTCCTGGGGCCTCTTGGGGCCATCTTGGGGCCTCTTGCGACCTCCTCAGAAGCGCAAATGAGAGCTGCCCTGAGAAGGACAAAATGAACCCAAAACCTTCGTATAATCAATGGTTTTGCTATGAGGGAAGATGAGCGCGGCCCCCTGAGAAGGCCAAAATGGTGTCAAAACCGTAGTAAAATTATTTTCTTTACTTCAACGACGAGTTCAGGGACCAAACTCCCTCCCCCCTCTCGGGGCCAGAATCCTCGTGAGGGTCGTCGTTTTTTGGCCCTCCCAGGAGTCGAAAAAGACCCCTCCAACGACCCGCGGGGCGCCCTCTCCAGGTCCAGGGGGAGGGGGTAGGGGGAGGGGTAAAGGTTGAGGACAGAGCGGGCTCTCTAAACCACTCACGCCCAAAGGGCTGGTGGGATTCGCCTCTAGGGGGACGCGCCCGACCAAGCACACATATCGAGGGAACGCTGCCTACGCAGGCGCACCCCAATCGCGGTGGCTGGGCGCCAGGGCTCGTGGGGGCTGCTAACATTGATTCCTCATGGGCTCCCTATGTGTGCTGCTCCTGGCGCTGGCGGGAGTGGCTGACGCGGGGAAGCTCCCTGCGACCATGTCGGTGGATAGAACTCTTCAGCCTGACGAGTATCGAAGGAACGCATGGATCTAGGCTTCAGTCGGCTCTGTCCCTCTACAGGGGCAATATTCAAAAATATTCCCCAAAATACTTGGGGGACTATTTTTGGAGTATTTTTGGGTATCTTTTGCATATGTTTGAGTATGTTTCATGTTTCGTCCAAACCCCCCTGTAGGGGGACAGGCCCAACCTGAGTCTAGGCGCGTGGATTGGCGACGGGTCCCGTCTCGAGACATCATCGGCGTGCGCCGTTGCCAAGAGCGAGGCGGCTCCGGCCTCGGATGTCGGGGGTGCCTCCCCCGGTCCAAAGATCTGGCGTCCACGCGCCAGACCCGCGGATTCCTAAGTGTAAGTCGGGCCTGTCCCCCTACATGGGGAATTTTCAAAAATAAGGAAAAACATAGTCTGGGGACGATTTTTGAAATATTTTTTAACCATTTTGGTGTATTTTTATTTTTTTTTGTTTTGTCAATTTTTCGTCCAAAATCGGCCTGTAGGGGGACAGGCCCGACCTAATCCTAATTCGTGCCAGCGCGCGGTCTGGCGCAGGAGTGCGCAGGAGTATCGGGCCAGACGAACGGGGGGGATTGGGAAAGGGGGGGTTACGAAATCTGCTGCATGCAGCTGGTTTCGGCCCCACCGAGGGGGCCCATTCCCAGATACATGACCGCCCCCAGCGCCGGGAGGCGCCTGGAAAATCAGCTGCGTGAGCCGATTCTCAACCCCCCCCTTGCTATCCCCCCCTTTCGCCTGGCCCGAGAGTGGCCCTTCTGCCGGAGTGACCTCCGGCGCGGGCCCACCCCAGGCTCAGCCATGCGCAGAGGGGGGTGGGGGGAGGGGGGAGGGCTTCTCAGAAGCACCCCTGCTTCTTAGAAGGCGCGGGCCTTCTCTATAGATGTAAGGCCGGGCCTTCTAAGAAGCAGCCTGCTTCTAAGAAGCCCTCCCCCCTCCCCCCACCCCCCTCTGCGCAGACAATTAATCGGCGATTCCCAGAAAGTATGGGAACATATGGGAAGTGGGCGGGAAGACAAAAGCCCAGAGAATATGGGAACATAGGGGGGATATATTTTTACTTGTGTGTATTCATCTGTGTGTCCCAGTTCCCCTTCGACAGTGTCGGGGTGGAGCTGCTTGCATGGTCTCCGGCCTCTCGAGACCCCCTGCGGGGCGTCGGCACCGGCCCAGAGATGACGGCGAAGGAGGACGAGAGGCCAGTCCCAGGGAAGTGGTCGACAGGTGGGGGGCCCATATTCGCAGGCCTAGAGGTTGACACCAACACCAATTTTGGCGGTGTGCCTCCACCGAGGGAAGATAAAACGACGCGAAGATCGGGACAAAATCGGATCGGGATAGCTCGAAATCTCTGAGAATCGGCGGGTCTGGAGGATGTATTGGGCGCCGCGGACGCTCCAGAGCGTTCGGGAACGCTCTGAGAGCGCTCCGGAACGCTCTGGAGCGATTTATCCCGATCCTAGCCTAGCCCTGTTTTAGAAGAAGATCCCGATCTCGGTGATTGTGGTAATATTTTGGCTTCCAAGGTGGCCGAAAGATTACCACCAGCACCGAAATCGAGGATCGTCTTCCCCCTGGGAAGGCAAACCCCTGTGTTGGTGCTGGTGCCCATTTCCAGGCCTCCAACATATCTCGAACAGAGCGAGGTGCCGGATGTTTGGGATGGGCGTCCACTTCCATGTTTCCGGCTCGTAGATTCGATGTCGATCGGTTCCGATTCTGAATCGGTCGGATTTCGGACTTAGATTTAGATTTGACAGGCCTACGTCAAATTCGCCGACCCCTTGCGTCCTGCAAGTGAAGCCCGTTTGGGTGACTACTTTGGATATTGACTCTGCAATGGCGCTGCGCGTACCGAATTTGTGGAAGGAGGATTTGGAGGAGAGCAGGAGGGAGGGCGACGATAACGAGAAAAAGAGTGCGGAAAAGTTGAGGACGGGGTCGAGGGAGGAGCATGAGGAGGACGAGGAGAATTTCGCGTGGGCTCCCACACCGTCAAATATCGAGTGTCCGTCGGCCCATCCCGCCACGTTTCCTGGGTTGTGGGTCAGGGTCTTCTCCGGGCAACAGTCGAGCATTCCAACTCGTCCATCCCGCACAGGCACGGCAGCGGTTATTTCCGCAGAGATCCTAAGGGCAAAGATGTCATTATTCAGTTCTGCGCGCGATACAGGACTCGATGCCTGCGCGTTTCCGTTCGCTGCGCCATTTGATCCATGCAATGCGTCATTCTCTCGTTTGGTTGCAGACGCAAGCTTCGCGTGGAGACACGTGCGTGACATACTTAGCAGCGCTTGGAATACTTCAAGTTGAAATTTCATTATTATTGTCCGTATTCGGAGGGGTCTTCAGTGTTGCTCTGGATTTCGTTGGATTCCTTGGGATTCCTCAGCGCCCCCAAAGATTCTTGAAGATTTCGGAGTTCCCTCCAGAATTCCTCCGGGTTTCTCAGAGTTCTTTTGGGTTCCGCCCGCATACTGCGGGTTCCTGAGGATTAGTCAGGATTCCTCCGGGTTCCTAAGGGTTCTCCAAGAAGGTGCTCATTATCGCTTGGGTTTCGTCGGGGTTCCTCCGGATTGTTTTGTGATTCCGCGGGTGGTCTTCATGGTTCCTCCGGACCCCTCCAGAATCCACCAGATTCCTTTGTATTCGTCAGGGCTCGTGAGGAGTCCTTAAGATTCTGGAGGATTTAGCGGGATTAGGTGAGACTCCTCCGGATTTCTGAAGTTCTGAATTTTTTGGTTTCACAGGATCCCTTCATATTCTTCAAGACTTCGCAGGGTCCCTTCGGATTCCACTAGATTCCTCCAATATTTTGCCAGATCCTGCAAGGTTTCTCAGGTTTTCTCGAGATTCCAACGATTCTAAAGCATTTCAGGGGCTCCGAACAAGCATTTCAGAGGCTCTGACGAGGCCTATCAGAGGTTCTCCAGAACCCTCTCAGCAGCTCTCAAGCACAGCTATCCAGAGGCTCTCAATAAGCTTGTCATAATCTCTGCAGAAGCTTCTCAGGGGCTCTTTGAGAGGCCTTGGAGAAGCTTTCCAGAGGCTGTCAAGAAGCCTCTCCGAGGCTCTCGAGAAGCTCGTCAGAGGCACCAACGGAGGAAGCACCCCTCCGGTCGGGGGAAAAAAAAAAACAGCCGATTTCTCACCGTCGAGACGGGGAATGCCTGCCTGAACCGGGACGTCGATCGTCCGAGGGGGGGGGGGGGGGCGTGCGGTTTCCGATTCGCATAGGCCGCCCGCGCGGGCGGCCCCGAAACGACGCGCCAGGGGCTGGCCCGCTCCAGTGGCCGTGTGCATAGGGCGCCTGTGCAGAGGGGCGCGGAACCCCCCGGATGCGTTCGGCCGGAGGGGGCCGTCCGAGGGGCTGGCCCCTGCGGTGGGCAGTGCGCATATATCGGGTCGGGCGAAAGGGAGGGATTGGGAAAGGGGGGGTTACGAAATTTGCTGCATGCAGCTGGTTTCGGCCTCACCGAGGGGCCCGTTCCTCGATACATGGCCGCTCCCGGCGCCGGGAGGCGCCGAGAAAATCAGCTACGTGAGCTGATTCTCAAACCCCCCCTTTGCTATCCCCCACGTCCGTCGTGGGGCCATATTGATAAGATCGTCTCAATCATCAACTTCTTCATACATTAGTCGTGTATGTAAAACCATAGAGTTTAAAAAACAATCCTATGTATTAAAAACTGCCGCATGCATAATCCTATGTATTTAAACATAATCCTAGATATTTTAAACCATAGAATTTAAGCACAATCCTATGTGTTTAAAACCATAGAGTTGAAACACAATCCGTCCGACCCGGCTCGCGCTCGCAGCAGTGGGCCCCCCCCCCCCCGGCCGTCGAAGCTCCCCGCCGGGCGGGCTCCGCTGGCCGCCCCGCGGGGCCGCACGCCCGGCCCGCGGGGCTCTGGCTGCGCACCCGCTCTCCCGCGTGCAGGCTCCAGTCGGGCGTGTCCCGCTGCAGGAGGAGGATTCAAACATGGTCAAAGCGTGGTCTGGGGACGTTTTGTCTGTGTCTCACTCTCTTTTTCTTTCGGACTGTTTCTGCATGTCTTCCGAACTTGTCGCTCGAGATCCGCCTGTAGAGGAGGAGGGTTCAAAAATGGTGAAAGCATGGTCTGGGGCTTTGTGGGCCCCGGAAGCGGCAGGGCCGTTTTTTCACCGTTTCCCAAGAAGTGCCCCTTGAAAATGGAAACGGCAAAAAAACGGTGACCGGAAACGGCAAGAAAACGGCTCCAGGATCGGAACCGGAGCCGGAACCGGTCAAACAACGGCGACGGAACCGGTAAAAACACGGCGTCGGAACCAGCAACAAAAACGGCAAAACCGAACCGGTAAAAAAACGGCCCTGTCGTTTCCAGGGCCCACTAAGGTTTGGGGACGTTTTGTCTGTTTCTCACTCTCTTTTTCTTTCGGACTGTTTCTGCATGTCTCCCGAACTTGTCGCTCGAGATCCGCCTGTAGAGGGGGACGTGCCCAACCGGAGTGCAGGTCCGAGTGCGTCGCCGGGCAGTGCAGTCCGGACGCCGAGATGGCCACCGATTACTTTGGGCTCCGGAGGGGCATGGGGTCCCTTCGGCCCCCTTCCTCGGCCCCGGGCCGGGGGACCGCCTGTTCGGTTCGCGGCCGAGGCTTTCCGTGGCCTCGAGTGGCGCCCTCCTCCCTCGGGCAGCGCCCGCGCGGCGCCCGGGGGCGCCCCTGGCCTCCGACCTCCCCTTGCCCTCGCCCTTTGCCCGCCCCTCGGCCCGGTGCCCGCCCGAAGATGGGCGCGTGAGCCGCACGCGGCGCGCATCCGCGGATGGTCGGGCCGAGGTGTGAGATCGAGGTCGGTCCGGGGAGGGTGCCCTGACGTTCTTCGTGCTCGTCGGGAGGAGGAGGAGGAGGAGGAGGAGGAGGAGGAGGAGGAGGAGGAGGAGGAGGAGGAGGAGGAGGAGGAGGAGGAGGAGGAGGAGGAGGAGGAGGAGGAGGAGGAGGAGGAGGAGGGGGAGGAGGAGGAAGAGGAGCATCCTGGGGGAGGGTGCTCCTTCGCAGGTTCGCACCCGTTTCCTGCAGCCTGGCCCACCTGGAGGCCAGCGCGTCTGGCGCGCTTGCCGTAGGCGACGGCAGACTCGTTCGTTCTCGTTCCCTCAGCCTCGCATTTACGTTGGTCGGTCGGCACTCGATCGAAGAAGAAAACTGGCATACATATAAGCCGTTGGCGCCCCGCGCGGATTTCTTGGATCCGCGCTGGGCTCCGCGCGCCAGGGAGGGGGGTCCAGCGCAGGTCCAAGAACCCTGCGCGGAGCGCCAGAAAGTTCATGCTTAACTATGCCGTTGTGTCTTCCTCTGCTCGAGTGCGCCGCGCCCCTCCGCGTCGGGCTTCGGCCACGCGCAGAGAGGGGCAGGTGGAGGGGGGAGGGCTTCCTAGAAGCACCCCCGGTTTGCAGGAGCGGCGGGCCTCGGTTGCAGATGCCAGGCCCGCGCCCTCGAAGAGGCAGCCGCCTTCGGAGAAGTCTCCCCCCCCCCTCCCCCTACCCCACTGCATGCACCGCCAAGGGTCGGCACAACTCCTGCCTCGCCCCGCCCTGCCGGACGATGACAGCTCGACGCCGGCACCGCTGCTCGGAGATCGCATCGCCGATGCACGTGCAATGCGGCTCGATGTGGAGCCTGGTGCTGTTCACGCCGACGTCGCCAGTGCGCCGCCGACGTGACGGACGAGGAGGAGGACGATGAGGCCGAGGAGGGAGGGGTGGCTGGGTGGCTGGTGGGCCAGGGTCAATCTCCAAGGAGGAGGGGCCGGTCCTCCTGGGCAGGCCCCTCCCGGCTCCGAGATGTCGGCGGAGGTGCTGCCCCGGCCATGGCCAGGAGGGCGCCATACACACCGATCCGGGGCGCAGCATCGGCTTGGCCGAGGTCGTCGTCGGTGCATTGTTGTTGTTGCCTTTCTACCATCGGCAGCAATTGGGCATACAGTGAGCGGCTTGAATAAGGAACACTTACTTTTCAAAAGGGGCTCGGTCGTTCCTCAGGTTTGCATGCGTTGTTTACAGTTCCTTATGCGTTATTTGTTACTTATCGTTCCTTGTGTGTTATTCCTTGGGATAAAAGAAAAGGGCTTCGTTCCTTATTTATCGTTCCTTAGGTCAGGCCGATGACTGTACCCGTCGGTCGTTGGAAGTAGTTACTTTGGGAGTCTCGGATTCCACCTTTTCCGTCCTCTGTAGGGGGCGGGCGGGCACCCAATCCTTTTTGTCAACGCCTTCCTATGTTTCGTGTACTCCTTCTGACCGATGGGTATGGTTGTTGTCTTTCTGCTATCGGCAAGAACGGCGTAGCCATACATTGTCGGAGCTTCGTGCCGATGTCTTGGATCGGCGCTGGACACGCCTCCCTAGCGCGCGCGGAGCGCGCCAGGAGCGGCCCGGAGGCGCCGCCAGGGGTGTCCAGCGCCGATCCGAGAAGTTTGCGCCGACCTCTGACAGGTGGTGGGTATGTCGTCTGCCAGTCTTCCTATAGTCAGATTCTGTAGTGAGGATGCGCTGCTTCACCAACGCTGCACTTGCATCCTAGCTTCGTCGGCCCATCCTGAGCAACTGTTGACGTCCAAAGAGCTCTGAATGGCAAATGGGACTTCCAATGGTCTGGCATCCGTACCTTGCATCCCTACTGTGGAAGTTGACTTACACCCAAGACGCTCAAATCAGGACCACTTAGGGCTCAGAAGGGGCGCTGGTTTCAGGGCTGTCCCTGAGGTCTGGGTCGGAGAATCCATCCGTGGCCTAGGCTCGCCGTAGCCAGAAACGCTTTTCCGTTCCCTACTCTCGGCCGCCAGCCTGGGGGGGAAGTGAGAGGAGGTGGGCCTTCTCAGAAGTCTCGGAAGCCCCGCGGCTTTCTGAGGAGTCTCCTGAGCCTTCCCCGAAGGTCTCCCCGGAAGCCGCGCGGCCTTCTGAGAGGGCCTCCTCCTCCTCACGTCCCCCCCTCGCTCGCCGCCGATGTGCAGCGTTCCTTGCGGCCCTGCCCGCCGCCCCCCGGCGGTCCTCCGCCAGGCGGGGAAGCGCGTCAAGCGGGAGGCGGAGTCGCAGCCGTCGCCGCAGGACGGGAGGGCGCCGCAGCAGAAAGATGGGGGAGCTCTCTCCTCCTTCTCCTCTTCTCTCCTCCCTCTCTTCCCTCGTCGCTGCCCTCTTTTTGCCCTCTCCTCCTCCCGCCCCATGCTGAGTCTCGGCCCATTCCCCAGGACCGTTTTGCCGTCCCGAGTCGTTTGTTTTGCAAGCCCCGAGTCCCAGCGAGGGCCCCGGAGGCCGAGCATGGCGAAACGCTCTCCGTCGTGGTTTTTTGCCGTGACCCGAGGCGGTCTGGCGAGGGAGGAGGATGGGCGCAGCGGCACTGGCGCTTAGTGGGCCCTGGAAACGGCAGGGCCGTTTTTTCACCGTTTCCGAAAAGTGCCCCTTGAAAATGGAAGCGGCAAAAAACGGCGACCCGAAACGGCAACATAAACGGCTCCAGGATTGGAACCGGAGTGGAAACCCGTAAAAGAACGGCGACGGAACCGGAAAAGAACGGCGTCGGAACCGGCAAACAAAAATGGCGAAACGGAACCGGAAAAAAATCGGTCTTGTCGTTTCCAGGGCCCATTTACCACTGGCGGCAGCAGGGGGCGGCGGGAGCGTGTGTGAGGTCGGGCCCGTCCCTCTGCAGGAGGAGTGCTGAAAAACAATTCGTCCAGCCATCGCCAGGGGACGCGTTTTCGCTTACGCTTTGTGACCGTGTTTGGAGTTTTCTGTCGGCTATTTCCCATTTTGTCCTCCAGAACTTAACGGGCGAAAAACGGTATCAAATAAACTTTTTCGCTGTCGGGGGCGCCTGTCCCTGGGCGGCTGGAAAGTTTATACCCCTACAGTGCCACCGTAAGGGTATAAACTTTCCAGCCGCCCAGGGACAGGCGCCCCCGACGGCGAACAAGTTTATTTTATACCGTTATTCGCCCGTTAAACAACCCCGCTTGTAGGAGGGCGTGCCCCTGCCCAGAGCGTGCGGGGCGGCGGGCGCGGGCGCCCGCGAGGACCCCCCGCTGCGGCCGCAGCCTCCGAGGAGGGCGCCGCAGGTCGGGCGGGGGGGCCCGTCTCCCTCGCCTCCCGTCCTCGGGGCCGCTGCCCTCCCCAGGGTTTCAACTCGGGCCTGCCCCTCTGCTCGGGGGCGGAAAAGAGGGGGGTGATGACTAGGGGGGGTGGATATCATGGCGTGGGCCATGATATTTCCCCAGATTTTATGGCGCCTCTTCTTATTTCATTACGTCCCTGGCCCCCCGCTGGTCCGCGCACATGCCGACGGTCATGATTTGCACCCCCCCCTCTTGGACACCCCCCTCTTGGCCGCTCCCGATCTGCAGGAGGAATATCCAACGGTAGGCAGCAAATGATATTCGGGGAGGGGGGCAGGACCCCCCAACCCTGACACGTCGATTAGCCATTTTCCAGGCTTGCGCCCGCCAGGTTTGGACCCGAGGTCGTTTTCACGAATCCACGTTTCCACGAGTCCTCGGGTCCTCTGCCCTCACAAGGTTACATCGGGCCTGCCCCACTACAGTCAAGTCGGGCCTGTCCCTCTCGCTACAGGATGGATGTTCAAAAGCAGTAGAAAATAGTCTGGGGACGATGCTTCGACTGTGTCTGATCATTGTTTGGCATGTGTTTGGCTATGTTTCATCTGTCCTCCGAATCCGTCTGTAGGGGGACATGCCCACCCTAATTCTGCAGGAAAAATCTTCAAACATAGAACAACATAGTATGAGGACGATGTTTTGACTTTTTGGCTATGCTTGTTTATTGTTTTTCATATGTCTTCTTTTTCGTCCAGAATCCGCCTGTGGGGAGCATGCCCGACAGAATCATATAATGTGAGCATCCTGCATCCATCTTGACCTACGCAGGCCCCACGTTTCTGCCCCCAGTCTGCAGGACTTGAGACCCCCAAGCGCCCTTGCCTGACCTCGCCGAACCTTGCCTCCTGCTCCTCCTCCTCTTCCTCCTCCTCCTCCTCCGCCTCCTCCTCCTCTCTGCACAGCAGCGGCGTCGCCTTGCACGCGCCCGCCCGCGAGGGTGGCCAGAAGCGGCCAGCATATAGGTTTGGTTTCCCCTCGGTCTGGCTCGGGGGCTCTCGGCCGCAGGTCGGAGAGGAGGTGGGGTGCCGCAGATCGGGCGGGGCTGTTCGAAGACGGTACAGTCGGGGCCCTGAAGAAGGAACCCTTCTCATTGGGGAGGGGCTCCGTGTTCCTTGATGGTTTCGCAGCTTGCCTTAGGTGTTCCTTAGGTTTTCGATGGGAAATCGAGGTTGAACTTATGGGAAAAAGGGGTCTCGTTCCTTATTTAGCGTTCCTTAGGTCAACGCCCCCACTGTAGAATGCATAAACATAAATTGTTGGAGGTCCGCGGGGATTTCTCGAATCTCCGCCGGGTCCCCCCGGGCGGTGCCTCCCGCGCCGCCCTTGGTGCGCTCCGCGCGCCAGGGCGGGGGGGGGTCAGCGCAGATCCAAGAGATTCGCGCGCACCGTCGGGGGTTCGTGTCCTACGTCGCCACGGCTGGGTTCGCTTCGAAATCTCAGTCGGAACGCACCCCAGGAAAGGTCTGGTGAGTAGCGGTGCCATCGGCCCGGATTAGTAGGTCGACCCTGCCAAATCAATTTGTATGTGTCCTGTGTATCGCGACCCATGCTTCCTACATTCCAATGGCAATGTGGCCCTCGGAAGGGTCTTGTGTCCTCTCGCGTGTCCTGTCCAATCGAGTCCGACTGTATCAGTACACGCTGGTCGCTGAAGTAGGTATTTTTGGATTCCCAGATCCCAATCTACTTCAAGCGCCTTCCTACTTCAAGAATCGACACGCTTTTGCTGTGTTTTGTAATTCCCTGGGGGGGCCTGGACCCAATCAACTCAATCCGGCTTACTACTTAATGTTTTTACCTACTTCTTCCGACCGACGTGTAATTCTGCGCCTCCCAGATTGGGGCGGAGCAGACAGGGTCGAAGGATTGCGACGCATCGCCGAGGCATCGGTGACGCGGCTCAATGTGGAGCCCGACTTTCTCGGCGCTGACGTCGCCCATGCAGCACGGGCGTCGCCGACGTGCCGCCGATGCATCGCCGATGCATCGGCGATGCGGTGCAATCCTCCGACCCCATCTACTCGGACTCATCCAGGAGGCCTCTAGTAAAGGTGCTGACAGGCTGCAGCCGACCATTGGCTTTTGCCAGGTTCCCCCCCCATGTTCCGCACGGGCTGCAGAAACCAGTGCCGCTGTACAGGCGGCCCGGATTAGTAGGTCGACCCTGCCAGCTCAAGGATACTCTTGTGTCCTGTGCCTCGCGACACGTGCCTTCTTACACTCCTATGGCGATGCGGCCCTTGGAAGGGTCTTGTGTCCTCTCGCGTGTCCTGTCCAATGAAGGCCGACTGTATGTTCTGTCACGTAGCCTGAGCCAATCGGGTCATGACACCATTCTCGTCCTACCCTCCTCGCAGCGGGTCGCCAACGGCACCACGCTTCTGCCCCCAGGGTGGCCCAGCAGGCGAGCCCTCATCTCCGTGGACGGCACGATGTGCCCGTCGGTAACTCCGCCGGCAAATCCTCTCCCCGTCCGTCCTGCTCGCTCCTCCCACCCACCCAGCCCCGTCACCCCGTGTCCGCCCCCCTCGCCGTTCCGGGTTCTCCTCCCTCGCTTCCCCCTCCCCAACTCCTCCCCTCCTCCAGCCCTCTCTTGTCCTTCTCCTCCTCCTCCTCCTCCTCCTCCTCCTCCTCCTCATTATCACTCTCCTCCTCTCCTCCTCCTTCTCCTCCTCCTCCTCCTTCAGTCGTTTCCTCCCTTCTGTGAAGGCCAGATAGTCAGGGTTTAGTAGCCTGACTCGACATCTTCTGGCAAATACAGCTACCGTGCTTGAAGCCAGACACAGTGTCAAGAGGAAGCTCACAGAGCGCTTTACACGTGGTGTTTTCCCTACGTCGGAAACAAAGGTGTCGTTCGTGTCAACGTCGGCCTGCCCCGCGTCACGCTGGAGACTGAACGGACCACGGGCGCCTGCAGCCCTTAAGGCAGGCGCGTCCCTGGGCAAGAGACACCCCGCCATAATGGGTGCACTCGGCCCGTGGGGGTGGGCACATAATTCAAAGATGTTTGTGCCCTTGTTACAGTGTTTCGTCAAGTTGTATTCGCTGTCACATTCTCCAGATTCCATTCACTTGCTTGTACTTTGTTGCGTTGTTTCGATAATACTGCATTCCGTGTTGCAAAGGCGGTTGTCTCTCATCCAGCGATTTGGTCAATCATCAGGCAAACTTCTGGCTCTCAGCCGAAAGTCTCTCCAAGAGCTCGTCTTCGGCGGTGCAGCATTTTTCCCATCAGCCAGAGTAGTAGCAGTGGTCGCTTTACTTAAGAGGGGGCTTCGCACGTGCGCTCTGATTGTGGTGCCCGAGAACCAGGATACGAAGTCGGCTCCGCCGTCCTGTGCTCCAGTCAGTGCTCTGGTTACGGGGGCGGGGGGTCGGACATTCAAGGAAAAAGGGGGCACCTGCGGCCAAGCCGCCAGGTGCCGACGATGTCACGAAAGAGGGGGCAGTCTTTTCGTCCCTTCTGTGAAGGCCAGATGCTCAGGGTTTAGAAGCCTGGCTCGACATCTTCTGGCAAATACAGCTACCGTGCTTGACGCCAAACACAGTGTCAAGAGGAAGCTCACAGAGCGCTTTACACGTGGTGTTTTCCCTACGTCGGAAACAAAGGTGTCGTTCGTGTCAACGTCGGCCTGCCCCGCGTCACGCTGGAGACTGAACGGACCACGGGCGCCTGCAGCCCTTAAGGCAGGCGCGTCCCTGGGCAAGAGACACCCCGCCATAATGGGTGCACTCGGCCCGTGGGGGTGGGCACATAATTCAAAGATGTTTGTGCCCTTGTTACAGTGTTCCGACACGTTGTATTCGCTGTCACCTTTTCCATATTCCATTCACTTGTTTGTACTTTGTTGCATTGTCTCGATAATACTGCACTCAGTGTTGCAAGGTGGTTGTCTCTCATCAAGCGATTTGGTCAATCATCAGGCAAACTTCTCCTTCTCCTTCTCCTCCTCCTCCTCCTCCTCCTCCTCCTCCCCGTCCCCCTCCCCATCTTCATTCCCAATCTCTTCCTCCCTTCCCTTCTCGTCCCTCCTCCTTTCTCCCTCCGCCCTTCTCTTTCGCTCTCTCCTTCGGCGCCTGTGCCCGCGACCCCTCCGGCGCTGCCCGGTGCACAGGCGGCCGCGCCCGAGCAGCCGCCGCCGAAGCGCCCGCGCGGCGCGCGCGACGCGCCAGGCGCCGTGGGGCCACAGTGCTGCTTTCGGGTGCCGCTCGGTGCCCGGGGCCCCTTTGGGAGGTGGACAGACCTCAAATATCGTCCCCAGATTATGTTTGGACCATTTTTGACTTTGTTTGAATATTCCTCCCTTGAGTATTTTTGGATTATTTTTGAATCTTCCTCCTGTAGAGGGACGTGCCCGACTTAGTGGAAGGTCTCCTGTGGACTGGCCTCCGCTGCAGAAGCCGGCGGTGCCCGGCAGCCCGTGGCCGCGGGCCGCTCCGAGCCGAGCGGCTAGCTCCTGGTCTGGGGGTGGACAGCCCTCCTACCCTGACACGTCGATTAAGGAAGTGGCCGTTCTCGGTGCGCGACAGGGCGTCGCGGCCGTCGTTTTTGCGGGTCCAGGTCCGTCGATTTCGGCCCTAGGTCGTTTCACTAAGGGGAGGTTTACTAAAGGGAGGTTTGTCCACCGCCGACTCTTTGGGCGCTCGGTAGTTACGTGGCATCAGATGCCACGTAACTACCTGGGGGCTGCTTCGAAGGGGGCGGGGTACCGAGCATTTTCTTTTGGGTGGAGGGCAAAGGGTGGAATCTGAAATGCCGTTTCGATGGATGGTCGAGGCTTGAATCTGCAAAATGTGAATCACAAAACGAATTGATTTTCGAGGTGCAAACGCCCATCTCTCTAAGAAAATGCTCAGGAGTAGATGGGGTCGGAGGATCGCGCCGCATCGCCGTTGCATCGGCGATGCGGCTCGATGTGGAGCCAGTGTTTCCCACGCCGACGGCGTCGATGCGTCGCTGGCGTCGTTGGTGCATCGCCGATGCATCGCATCGGTGCTGCATCGGCGATGCATTGGCGATGCGGTGTGATCCTCCGACCCCATCTGCTCGGACCCCATCTAGGAGGCCTTTAATATTTGGGGGACCTCGCTTGTTCTCAAAATTGGTGTCTTTTCTTGTGCCCGGCGCGGGCTCGCGTTGCGGGCTCGACGCGGGTTCGGCGCGGATTCGGCACGAATTCGACACGGGTTCGACACGGATCCAACGAGACCGACATGTGTTCGGCACGGATTCGACGCGGATAGGGCCGCGACGGGACAGACAAATGCCCCCAAGGATGCAACAGAATGGTAGCGTGGAGGGCAACACAAGAGGGCGGGGCCGATGAGTGCAGGAGAGTTGTTTTGAAGAGGCCTGGAGCGGGCTCTGAACTGCCACCGCACGTCCAAGAGGGGCTGGAGAGGCACGCGGTTGTCACCCCGCCGGGGAGTTGGCTAAACCTTGTGACCGGGGGCTTATTTCCAGCAAGCGGCGTGAGTCCTTGGACCAATCGAATAAGGGCCTGCGGCCCAAAGACTTGAAAGGGTCCAAGTTGTCCAGCAGAGTCAACCCGCATAGTAAGGATTAACAACTATGCTTCTGCCACGGAGGGCGTGACGTTCCCACACCAAGAATTCATGGACGTCCTGGGGTCTCAGGGTTGGGTTTCTTGTGGAAGGTTTCTCGTGGACTGGCCCCCACTGCACGTCATCGGCCCCGCCGTTCCCATTCCCATGCCTACAGTCGAGACGCTGAAACAAGGAACGGTTTGGGCTCGGAACGGGCTCGATGTTCCTTGGGTTCCTGAATTGCTGCTCCTCTTGTCCTCCCTGGGAGCGGAGGCGCTTTTGGGGCCAAGAGGGGGCTCCGTTCCTTACCTGGCGCTCCCTTTTCCAGCAGCCCGACTGCATCGGACGCACGCCCGTCGAGGCTGGGCGCCCCCGCATTCTCTATATCCCAGGACTCGGCCCCAAATGTTTGGGTCCGTTCGAAGACCCCACGAAGCCTAGGACAGAGGTCGACACATCCCCTCGTTATCATCAGTCCCGTTCCCATTCCCATGCCTCTCGGGCAACGTCAGCCGACCACGCCGACCACGCCGACCACGAGACCTAGGATAGAGGTCGACACATCCCTCGTTATCAGCAGTCCCGTTCCCATTGCCACTCCCATGCCTCTCGGGCGACGTCGGCCGACCACGCCGATCGTGGCCAGGCCCCTCCGGGGGCGGGGGCGCCAGCCCTCCTGGCCCGGCCGGCCAGGGGCGGTCTTGGCCAGGCTCGGGAGCCCTGAGACGGGGGTCAGTGCAAGCGGGGATCAGCCAGAGCGCCCGATCTTGCAGGATCCTGCAGGGCCAGGGTCGCATTGACCCGGGTTTGGGTGCAGGGTCCTGCAGGATCCTGCAGGATCCTGCAGGATCCTTCGCATTGACCCGGGTTTGGGTGCAGGATCTTGCAGGAGTTTGCAGGATCCTGCAGGCTTGACTAAACCCGGGTCTGGATGGACCCGGGTCAGAAGATCCCCGACATGCTCGGTGAGGCGGCCAGTTGCCCCAGGCCAGGGTGTCCCCAGGCTGCCTTGGGCTACCCTGAAGTCGGGCACGTCCCTTTACAAGAGGAATATTCAAACCTACCATGAAACTAGTCTGGGGACGAGCTTGAAACGGTTTGTGTTGACTGTGTTTGAGTATGTTCTCGATTACGCTTCAGTTTTCGTCTCAAGTCCGCCCGTAGGAGGACGTGCCCGGCCGAAGGCTGCCCTGGGGGCCCAAGGGTAGGGCCCAGGGTAGCCCAGGGCAGGGCCTGGGGCGGCCACCCTGGGCTGCCCCAGGCTACCCCAGGCTTCCCTAGGCTGCCCTAGGGCCTCGGGTGCCCTAGGACCTCCAGGGCAGCGCCGCGGGCAGGGCCCAGCGGCAGGGCCGGGGGTGGCCTGGGCTCGCCGGGCTCTGTCCCGCCCTGCCCCCCACGGCCGCGAGCAGCCAGCCCCTCGACTGCAAAGGGGCCCGCGTCTCCGCGATGCTCCTCGGCGCTCGACTCGATCTTCCTCTCGGAGGCCCAGAGGTTGACACCAACACCAAGATCGGCGATATGCCTCCACCGAGGGAAGAAGATCCCAATTTCGGTGATGGTGGTAAGATTCAGGCTTCCAAGGTGACCGAAATATTACCACCAACACCGAAATCTAGGATCATCTTCCCCCTGTGGAGGCAACCCCCTGTTTTGGTGTTGGTACCCATTTCCAGGCCTCCAATCCTCGACCCTGGATGCTCCTCGACCCTCGATCCTCCTCGAGCCCCCCCCCCCAGAAATGCGATGTCTGGAATTTTCCAGGGCGGGGTCCCCGGGCCCCCACCCTCTTCCCGAGGACCAGTTTGTCACCGAGTCGTTTCTGACGGTCCTGGGGCCCCACAGCGCCCCCACAAGAGCCCACCGTGACCAACAAGAATCCCGCCCTGATTTTTTCAGGACGCGAGCATGTTTTGGCCTCGATCAGAGTGGCTCACAACGGATCCCCAGACACCTTCCAGAGTCCATGCTGGCCAGTTCTGCGAGCTGCGAACGGCACTGGCCGTGAGGCCGCCTCCGTCGGGCCGCCGCCATCGCCGACGACGACGAGGAGGCGGAGGAGGGAGGAGTAGGAGGAGGAGTAGGAGGAGGAAGAGGAGGAGGAGGAGGAGGAAGAGGAGGAAGAGGAGGCAGAGAAGGAGACAGAAAAGGAGTCAGCGAAGGAGACAGAAAAGGAGGAGGAGGAGGAGGAGGAGGAGGAGGAGGAGGAGGAGGAGGAGGAGGAGGAGGAGGAGGGTGATACTGAGGAGGAGGAGGAGGGCAGGAGGTGGATGAGGAGGAGGAGGAGGAGGAGGAGGAGGAGGAGGAGGAGGAGGAGGAGGAGAGGAGGGAGGAGGTGGACGAGGACGGACGAGGAGGGAGGGGAGGGGAGGAGGGAGGGAGGGGAGGGGGCGGGGCGGAGGCATCCCGAGGGTGGCACACCGCCAGGCGCCGGCGAGCAGGGCGGCGCTGTGCGCGGCGCGCACGGCGGTTCGCAGCTCGCGGCCGCCCCCTCGCCAGCGCGGGCGGCGCCGCAGGGCTGGGCCGAAGCTCCGCGGGCCAGGGTCGAGACTCGGAGGAGGAGGAGGAGGAGGGAGGAGGAGGAGGAGGGGGAGGAGGAGGAGGAGGAGGAGGAGGAGGAGGAGGAGGGAAGATGAGGTGAGGCTCTTCCTTCTTTTTCCACCGCCCGTCGGCAGGTTGGAGTCCGCTGTAGCTCCTGGCGGACGCGGGGGGGCGGCGTTTGGCCCCCCCGCTTTCGGTCCATTGCTGGGGTTGCGCCACGAATGGTCCCGATTGCATTGCGGCGCGTCGGGCGCACGATGCGCTATGGCTTTGTCGAGGAGGAGGAGGAGGGTGATGATGATGAGGAGGAGGAGGAGGACCAGTGTAAATCCAAGACTCGCCAACGATGTTGCTAGAAGCCCTCACTCCAAGTTCTCCCGCCATGGGCCCCTACAGCGCTGAATTCTCACAGAGGGAAGGGCGCCGATGGGAGACAACCGTTTGAAATTCGGGCACTGCGCCAGAACCCCATGTATGGGACTTGAACGCCGCGAATCACCGCCGTTGCGGTTGCGGCTTGACGATCCTGAATCCTGCTGGAACGCCATTCTTGAGATTTCAACACCGCGAATCAACGTGACGGCTGCGCCCTAACTTTTCGACATCGTGCCAGAACACCGTTCTTGGGACGCCAACTGTAACACTCCTTGAAACGGTTGCGAACTTTCAAAGCGAACGTGCGCGGCGCGATGGCGAGAGCCACATTTTGAAACGGCCATCACGAATGCGCGTGGCGCTCAGCCGGGGCCACATTTTGAACACGATCTGTCCAGTGAAGTACAAATGTGCGCAGCGCTAAGGCGAGCGTGACACATTGAAAACGACCCGACCTCCATCCGTGAAATTCTCGTACACTCTTAAGACGAGTGTGCGCGGCGCCAGAGCGAGAGCCACATTTTGAAGAACACCCGCCCTCAATCCGTGAAACTGCTGCACACGTTTCAGCCTAAGGATGATGCGGGGTGAGGAAGTCTCAGGCGAAACTCCCGGCCCGCCCTTTCGACCAGCCTCGGGGTGCGACAGGGAGGAGTGATTCATAAGGAAAGGAATGCAGGAGGGGGTGGAGGAGGAGGAGGACGAGGACGAGGAGGAGGAGGAGGAGGAGGAGGAGGAGGAGGAGGAGGAGGATGGCCCCTCTGGCCTCCTCCGCGTCCTTGCCTCTGGCCTCCCCTTTCACCCAGAGGGGGGAGCAGTACCGAAACCGTTACCCCTTCTCTTTCGTTGTCGCTTTTTTGAGCCTCCCTTTCCCGACGTGTTTGACGTTTCGCCAATCGATTTGGGGCATCAAGCCGGATAAGCCATTGTACGTGCAGACAGATCGAGGTACGTCCGGGCAGGGGCGGGTAAGTCCAATGAATCCCAAGGATCTGCCGGGATATTTGGAGCAAGTCGTTGCCGTTCATCTGGACGCCCGACATGGGCACTGAAAGAATGGGTACAATGCCCAACAGCAGTTCCTGTTCATTTTGAACAGGGCTCGCTGTCCGCGCCGCAGCGGCCTGTGTCCATTCGAGACAGAAGGCCGCCTGCCCAACAGCGGCCGCTGTTGGTTTCGGACAACATTTGTTGTTGGGCATTGTACCCATTCTTTCGGTACCCATTTCGGGTGTCCCAAGTTCAGGCGCGAGGTGGAGGAGGAGGAGGAGGAGGAGGAGGAGGAGGAGGAGGAGGAGGAGGGAGGAGGGGGAGGAGGAGGAGGAGGAGGAGGAGGAGGGGAGGAGGAGGAGGAGGAGGAGGAGGGACGGCAGACGCAGTTTATAGCCCTGCACGATCTCGGGTGGCCTGCGTCGCCGCGCCCGGGAGAGAGGTCGTCCGAGGAGTAGCCGCATCGGTGCCCTTTGAGTTTTCCCAGCCGGCCTCCACCGGCAGCTGCTCCTGTCCATTTTGAACCCCGTTCGCTGTCGGTGTCTCGGGCCAGACGAAAGGGGGGGTTTGGGAAAGGGGGGGTTACGAAATTAGCTGCATGCAGCTGGTTTCGGCCTCACCGAGGGGCCCATTCGTCGATACATAAGCCGCCTCCGGCGCCGGGAGGCGCCGGGAAAATCAGCTACGCGAGCTGATTCTCAAGCCCCCCCTTTGCTATCCCCCCCTTTCGCCCGACCCGAATTTTGAGCCCCGTTCGCTGTCGGTGTCGCCGCGGGCAATTTACCCATCTGAGACATAATCTCGCCTGCCCAGCAGCGGCCGCTGTGTTAGTTTGCATGTGTTCTGTACCCACTGCGGGCGTTCCAGCTCATCCTCCCTCTCGTTTCCACCCCGCATCTGCTCCTCCGCCCCCCCCCCCCGCCTCTCTTCCCCCCTCTCCTTCCCTACTTGTCCCATCTGCTTCGCCCTCCTCTGATCCCCCTCCCCCAGGGCCCTGGAGCCCCAGGTGTAAGGGAATCATGTCAGTGCCTCTGTGATTTCGGCTGCCCCAAGGCGCCCGCTGGAAACGGTGTGCACGCACCAGGCAGCTTACCGAGGCTCGGGCGGTATTTCCTGCGGCGGCTTCGACGAAGGAGGAGAGGGATGAGGGACAGTTGGTGCGATAAGTGAGGAGTATGGTCGGAGGGACAGTACGGAAAGAGAGAGTGAGAGAGAGAGGCATCGTTTTCTCTTGCGCGGTCGACGTGGTCGCAGCAGGGGAATACGCAATCGAGGCGCACCAGGTGCGTTAGCGAGTGGCGGGGGGAGGGGGAGGGCTCACTTTCAGGCCCTCCAAGGGGACCAGCAGCACGGCAACGCGCGTGCGGGAGGCTTGAGGCCCGTTCCTTCCGCCGCGACGCTGGGGGGCCGCATTGGCCAACGCATCCGGCGCAGCCGCCGTTGCCGCGGCATCACCCGGATAGATTAGTAGTAGCATGTGTGCGTTTGCACCCCAGGGCCCCAGGGGCGACGCGTGCGCCGAGAAATCTCATAGCATGTGTTCGGTGGCGGGCGCTTGCTGGCCGTACCGCTCGGGAAACGATGCGCTTCAACATGGTTGTATTGCTTGTTCGGGCGCACGCCTCCAAGGAGGACGCACAGTACTATCCATCGGTCGTTGAACGTATGCTTTTTTGGGTTCCCAGATTCCAATATACTTGAAGCGCCTTCCCACTTCACTGATCGAGTGGCTTCACCTGGTCCGTCCTCCTTGGGGGGCGGACGGAACCCAATATCGTTGCAACGCGTTCCGACTTCTTGGTTCTACCTATTTCTTCTGACCGATGGCTATGTATAGGGGGTCACATGCGAACCCCACCCCTATCCCCCCCACGCTACTGATAGGGAGCTCCCGAGCGAAGTGAACCCCACCCTCCCTCTCAGAAGTCGTGGGGGGGTAGGGGTAGGGTTCGCATGTGGCCCCCTGTACGTATTCTCCTGGTCCTCCCCGCTGCCCTCGCCGGGGTGTCGGCGGCCTCGCGTGTTGCCCCTCGCTCACGGCTTGCTGCGCTGCGGGGGCTGCTCTTGAGCGGCCGTGCCGAGCAGCACCGCCGCCCCCGGGGCGCCCCGGCGACAGACTCACCGAGCGCCCTCGGGGCCGCCCCAGCCCCGGGAGCGCGGCTCTGCCGCCTGCGTGCCAGCTGCAGACCTCGATGCTCTGCATCGTTGTTCGGGCCGAGACATCCGTCGCTGAAAGTTGTAAGTAAATGCGAGAGTGGGAGACCACTCAGGATAGAATTTAAACAGTTCAAAAGATCAGGAAAGCACCCGACAGCAAGGACAAGCACAGAATACGGTCCGAGCCTGGCTTGCTGCCTTTGGGTCTCTGCATGGGGGCATCGTGTGCGTCGCTGCGCGGGCAATTGCTTTTCTCGTCCGCGGCGAGGCGGCGAACTCCGCTCCAGCGAGAAGCTGGAACGGGGCGCCAACTCTAGCGGATTGGCCGGCGGGCAGGGGGGGGGGGACGGCAGAGAGGGGGACGGACGCTCAGACCTCGGAGAGTTCGACGGTGAGCAGCTGGGGGGGGACGCGCGGGCAATTACAGTCAAGACGTTGAAGGAAGGTCCGCCTTGTGCTCGCTCCTCCTCCTCCTCCTCCTCCTCCTCCTCCTCCTCCTCCTCCTCCTGGGCTCCGATTTCTAGGAAGCTCCCGCAAAATCGACCTGTCGGGGGACCCCCTCCGTGGCCGGGGCTCGCCCGCGGCGGGAAGGAGCCCCCCTCGGCCCAGACCCGTGTGGCAGCACGTCGGCTGCACGTCTCGGGCCAGGCGAAAAGGGGGGGATGGGGAAAGGGGGGATCTGGAAATATTCAAACATGGTCAAAAACATAGTCTGGGGACGATGTTTGGAATATGTTTTGACCATTTGGGGGGTGTTTATGGCGTTTTCTGCAATGTTTTCGTCCACAGGGGGACAGGCCCGACCTTATCCTAATTCGTGCCAGCGCGCGGTCTGGCGCAGGAATGCGCAGGAATATCGGGCCGGACGAACGGGGGGGATTGGGAATGGGGGGGTTACGAAATCTTCTGCATGCAGCTGGTTTCGGCCTCACCGGGTACCTAAACGCACTACACAGTGACGCGGCACAGAACGGATCAGCTGCATGAGAGATGCGGCGCGAATATTAGAAGCAGTATTGCACACAGCGGCGGGAGGGAACGATGTGATGCGCAGCAGCAGCAATCGCAAGGAACGGAGGATCGTGGAAGGCAGCAGCGGCAGCAGCATGGCATAGCGGACACCTGGGGGCACTAGGCAGAATCAAACATGATGGCTCTACGTCGCTCGCGTCGCAGCCAAGCTGGGCAAGCTCACCAGCCGCGTTTCTTGGCCCAGGCCTCCTGCAGCATGGCGCCCGTCTCGTGCCAGAGGTCCTTGCCGCGGTTCCAGTGCGCCCACTGGAAGCTGCGGGCCTTTTGCATGAGGTGCGCCGAGCCGACGGCCTTGGTCTTGCCGACGAAGCGGCGGAGCTCGCGCCACACGCCGTCGATGATCTGCGTGCCAGTCTTGACCCAGATCCGCTTCTTGGCGCCAGCCTTCATCGGGTCGGGGACGTCGTGGTACCGCTTCTGGCTGTGCGACGGCTTGAGCCACATCCACTTGCCCTTGACCTTGGCCTTCTTCTTTTTGTGAACGACCCAGTCGTGGACGACGCCCTGCTCCTTCAGCTTGTAAGACCGCGCGCCGTCCGTGTGGAAGATCACGTTCCTGTTCTTCAGCCACTTCTTCGAGAGAGGCGCCCAACCCGCCTTGCGGATAGGGCCAGGGCCAGGAGCCCGACGCTTGGTCTTCTTCGGCTGGAGGCGGAACAGCACAAGAGACTCGGGGGCGCCACGTTGTACGATCCCGCCCCGCTGCTCCCAAATCACTGGCGTCGCAGTGCGGGGCCCAGCGGCGGGATCCTCCATCTTCCCCAAGTCCACCTCGTCTGCCTCGACGTCTGCCCACTGCGCGCCCTGGCCGAGTTTGATCTTCGGCTCGTTGGCGCGCACGTGCGCGGCGCGCGCCGCGTGGAGCGAGCCGTAGATGCTCTCGACGGCCTTGTGGTTCCTCTGCGCCAAGAGGCGCGTGGTCGTTTGCGGACAGCCTGCGACCGCGCAGAAGAGAATGGCGGCCTGGTCTGCAAGGGTTGAGAAGGACTGGACCGTGCCCTTGCTGAAGATGCGGTGGAAGGAGCGCGGCGTCATGCGGCGATTGCACAAACTGCGGCTGCAACGGTGCCCCCGCCCGCCCTTCTTCTCCCCGTGGTCCTTCAGAGGCCCCAAGACGCCCTCGCCGCAGTGAGGGCACGTCGCCCCCTCCCACTTCGGCGAGCTGTTCTCTCTGCGCAGCTTGTCAATCACGAACTTCTCGGGACGTTTGACGAAGTCCTTGATGCAGCTCGCCCGCGCAGCCCTGTCCTTGCGACCCCATCGCAATGGCCGCGGCGCCGTGCCTAATGCAAGGCACATTCTTTGGAGGCGTAATCTTCTTGTTTACAGTATTCTTCACGGCGTGGCCCTTCTTCGGTGCCTTCATTGCCCTGGTCGGCGCCTTCATTGCCTTCGTGCGTGAGCGCGGCGGCCCCGTGGCGACGCGGGCCTTGCCCCTCTTTAAGGTCTTTGGAATCGGGAAGAACCGAGACATGGCTCGCGGGCGCGAGGGGCGGGGCCGCGCGCTCTGACCTGATGGCCAAAAATGCTGTTGCAATGAACGCTTGACCCACGGTCGCGCAAGGAAAGCTGCCACGCCATTGTAAACCGCTCTTCTTCCTCCCGACGTCGCTGCAAAACTGGGGGCTGGGAACGGCGCGGCGCCCGGCGGCCTCGTCTGGGGCGCGACCGAATGCGCCCGAGATCGTCGCGCGCGCGCGCGCCCCCCGACGCAGCGCGGTCCACGGTGCTTTATAGGGCAGTTGCACATCTGGGGGCGACGCGTCGCGAATTCGGAACGGGCAGAGCGGCGCGCAGGCGCCCCGTCCGGGGCGAACTAGCTCACTTGCGACCGCGACCGCAAGGCGCGCCTACGTCTACGCTTGGCGCGCCTGCGCCCGTGGTCTGCCGATCGCGCGCTCACTCGGCCGCGACAAGTGCGCCGTCCGCGGCCGCCCCGCTGCTCGATGCCGATGCGCCCCCCCCCCCCCCCTCTGCGCTTACTCCTCCATGATCTGCTCGGGCTCCTTCTCCACCGACATGTCGTTATTCTTCTTCTGGGGCGGCGACGGGGAACTGAGGTCGGCGCAGCCGTTGTGGCCTGGCTGGAGCTTGAGGTTCCCCCACGCGCCAGGCTCAATCTTGATGCGCTTGGTCGGTGCCGCCTCTGGCGTGCGCGGCGCATCAGGGGCGGCCTCGGGGACCTCGCGGGCGCTCTTACCCTCAGGATCCTCGCCGACAGGGCCAAATAAGTCCAGCTCATCGAAGTCCTCGGGCGGGTTGAGCGGGGGCTCCTCCATCGCTGGCGCGCCCGCGGCCGCCCCCGCGGCCTGGCCGTCGCTGGCGCGCGCCGCGGCGGCGTTGCGGACGGACTTCATGTGCTTCGCCATGAGCTCGGCCATGCCCCTCTTCTCGAACGGGAGCAAGCGGTCGAAGTCCTCGGTGTCGCGGCGAACGCTGGAGTCCTGCAAGTACTCCCAGAGTGTTTTGCCCGCCACTGGCTTCAAGAACCCTTCGTGCAGCGGATGCTTCTCGACAGTGCTATTCTGGCCAGCTGGGCGGAAGTAGAGAGCGAACTTCGCGTTGATCAATAAGATGCAGCGCTCCAGCATCGCCCCGACCTGACTGCCGGAGAAATGTTTGGGGATGGCAGGCAATATCATGTCGATCAGGAACTGCGTCGCCTCCTTCGCCTTGTCGCCGCCCGTGACGGCAAATGCCCAATCTTCGGGCGACGGTTCGGCGGCCGCGTTGCATTCGTTTCCCCCGCCGAACTTAGCCGCCTGGCCCCGCGCCAACGTAGCCGCGCCCCACCTGGCGTAAGTCATCGCCTGCATCTGGGTCGGGTCGAAGAACGCCTGCGGCAGGAAAAAATGGTTGGGCGCGTCGCCCCATCGACTGAAATATCTCGCGTCGCGCAGGACGCGCGCGAGATGGCGCCAGCGTCGGGCAACCCGGCCACAGCCAGCTTTTTCCCCGCCCGCGCCTGGAGCACGCGGGGCCGCTGGTCGGAGAGACCCCCGTCGTCGAATATGCATGGGACCCATTTCTCCCCGACCTCCCCGCGGAAGGAGTCCATCTCGGCCGACGCCCGCACCGCCGCGACGACATCATTGCCCTGCGCCTTCTCCATGTCTGCGTGCCAGCGCTCCATGGCCATCGCCAGGATGTGCATGAGAGGTGTCTTGCCGAACCTGGCCTCGCCAACGGTGAGCAGCGTGTTCGTCAACAGCGTCTTGATGTTGCGCTTTGCGATGTCCAGATACTCTGGGCAAATATCATGCGGTAGGCACGGGTAGTGCGTCTCCTCGACAGCAAAGTGGCCCCTGTCCTGGATCTTCTTGAGCACCCTGTCAATAAGCTCCCGCCTGCAATCGTGAATGGGACTATCTGGGTCGACGAGCTGATGCTCAACCCACAAGATTTGCTGGCAATCGAAGTTCCCGCGTGGCGCCTCTGCCATGATGAAGTCGAAGCCGGCGGTCAGCTTTCTCTTCTTCTCATCCACGTTGTCTTCGTCGCCAGGCACGGCGGCCGCTGGCGCCGCGGCTGTCGCCTCGAACTGCCAATACTTGAACAAGATGCCACCCGTGCTCTCGAGGATCTTGTACATCGTCTTCAGCGTCGCGTAACGGTCGCGTATCCAGTGCGGGATAAGGGGCTCGCCGACGATCAGCTCCCGCTGAATGGCGTTGAACTTCTCGTTGGTGAGGAACTTGATGAACTTCACCACCAAGTAGTTCCCGCCAGCAGGCTTAGACACGTGCAGATTGAGAAACATCGGGATCTGTCTCCACGGGAAACCCTAGAGGCGGCGGCAGTTTGTTGCACTCCCCCTTCGACATGAGTTCCTCGACTGCGCCCCAGTCGATAGTGGACAAATCGCCTGGGGCAGCGACCACGTCCACAACCCAGCTGGTTGTCTTCTGCGTGGTGCCCTCGCATGGCTTGATGGGGCAAGTCCCACGCTGTCGCGCTGCCTGGACTGGTGACGTCGTTGCCGACCATCATCGTTTTTTGCGAGCATCGCAGGGGGGCCTCTTTGTGACTGCCACCGCGGCAGCGCGGTTGAGGACATCTTCGGTGTGGTCGGGGCGCTCCATGGCCTTGCCGAGGGAGACCATCCCCATGGCCTGCACGTTCGCCATCGCAGGAGACCCCTGGCTGGCCTGCAGGCAAAGGCAGCGAGCTTGAGCCAGCGCGCCTGCGGCGGGGAGAGAGGGGGGGGAGAGTGGAGGGCGGGCAGTTTCGACTGCAGGGTGCTATCATGTTTGAACCCCACGCATGGGGGGATCTCTTTTCAAGATCCCCCGACAAGGGGGATCTTGTTCAAGATCCCCCTAACTGGTGGCCAAGGCCAACGCAACGTCGCACTTCGAGGCGCTCGCGGCTCGTCACGCGAATGCTGCATGCGATATCGCACGAATCGATCGAACGGGGAGGACGGGGGGCGCACTCGCCAGGCGGCACGATGCGTCAGCATGTGTGTGCGTGTGTTCCCCCGACAAGGGGGGTCTTGTTCAAGATCCCCCTAACTGATGGCTAGGGCCAACGCAACGTAGCATTTCGAGACGCCCGTGGCTCATCACGCGAATGCTGCATGCGATATCATACGAATCGATCGAACGAGGGGCGCGCTCGCCAGGCGGCGCAATGCGTCAGCATGTGTGCGCGTGTCGTTAGCAGCCCCTCGTAAAGGGGGTCGTGGGCGCCTGCCTCACTGCATGCCCAGGCAGCCATCCCGAAGGGATGAATTGCCCTTCGGGACCCACCTCGCTGGGTGCATGGTGAGCCAGGCCCGCCGCTTCCTGTCTTTAGGCGTAGCCCAGTGGTTGAAGCGGCCCTGTTTCGTGCGGAAAGCCGCAAGGGCAGCCTGTGCCTTGTATAGCTCAGCCTGCTGCTTCTCGAGGAGCTCCCCTTGCTGCTTGTTCGCCTTCGCGAGCCGCTGGTTCTCCTTCTGCAGCTGCTTGACCTGCTCGTCCTGGTCCTGTGCCTTCTGGGCCTCTTTAGAGAGCTGCCCCCTGAGCTTCCTGCTCTTCTCGTGCAGCTCGTCGCGAAGCTTGTTGCCCTGTAGGGAAACGTCGACCACTGCGTCGCACAGGCGCTTGCGCGATGCATTTTTGAACTCTTCGAGTGCCTCGTGCAGCCTCTGTTTCACCCAAGGCCTGCTCAGGAACGCCTTCAACGTCTTCATGCGGGCTCTGTTCATGTCGTTGACACGCTTGCACTCGAGCGCGTCCTTCGACGACGAAGGCACGATGGCAAGAAATCGGCAACTTGAGCCAAAAGGGGCTACGATAGCATAAGGAACGTGAAGGATAGCAGGGAGTCAATGTGGGGGGATTGGGAAGGAGAGCGAAGGAAGCAGGCAGAAGGCGAGGAAAAGGGAGGGACCAAGACAGGGAGGAAGCTGGGAGGAATAAGCATGAAGGATAAGAGGACGTGGATGGGGGAGGCAGGAAGAGGAAGAGGGATGAATCCACACAGCGAGGACGATTGGGGGAAAAGGCATGAAGGTGAAGAGGAAGTGGATGGGGGAGGGACGCATGAAGAGGAAGAGGGAGGAATCCAGACAGGGAAGGCGATGGGGGAAGACAAATGAAGGATGACAAGAAGTGAACGGGTGAACACACAGCGGAGAAAGGATGCAGATGAGAGGCGAACGAGCGGGGACGGATGATGAGAGGGAGGACGAGCAGTGAGAGTAGGAATGATCGCCTCAACGACTCATGCAAAATCAGTGCGTGCTGGGGGGCTATATATATATATATATATATATATATATATATATATATATATATATATATGCGGGCCTGGTGCCCCAGCCCGCCCAGGAGCGTGCGGCGTCGCTAATCGGGGGCCCGTCGCCCATCCATCGGCGACGTATTGCCGATCCGGGCTCGGTGTTTGCTGTTTGCCCCCCCCCCCCGCCCCCCGAGCTTGAGCTGGTGCCCCTCGGGCGGGAGGTATTCAGGAGGGAAAATACACACAGACACGATGACTCGTCGATTCCCCAGAAAATATGGGAAACTATGGGAAGTGGGGGGGGGGGGGAATACAGAAACCCAGAAAATATTTGAAAATATGCGGGGTCCTTTTATTCGGGTGCATTTATTTGTGTGTCCCAGAATCCCGAGGAGGAGCCCGCGCCCTGGCCAACGGGGCCCTGGGGGATCTAGGCCACTGTAGGATGGGGGTGGGCTTGAGTCGGACATGTCCCTCTACAGGAGAGATCTTCAAACATAGAACAAACAAATCCTGGGGACGATTTCTGAACTATTTGGAAATTGATTTGGACATGTTTGGGCTATGGTCTTTTTTTTCCTCCAACATCCACCTGCAGAGGGGGCACGCCCGACCTGGAGCTAGGGCGCCGTAGGGATGGGGGTGGGCGCGAGGGGCGGAGGCCTACCCAGAGCAGGAGCGAAAGAAGGACGCTCACGTGCATGACTAGGGTTGTTGAAGTCGATCAACGAGGAGGAAGCATGCTGCCAAATACTTTCCAGATGCTTAAAACATGTTACAATCATGTTTTTAGATGTACAAGGGTGCTTGAAACATTGTTAGGACATGTGTTACACGTTTTTACCACATCTTGAACTCAGTGATAGGATTGTTAGAGTGTCCATGGTCATGGCATCCGTATGACAAGGGGAACGAATAATAACATAAACATAAACCATTATGATGTCCGCGCGGATTGAATCGGCGCCAGGGTCCCCTGGCGGCGCCTCTGGCGCCGCCCCTGGCGCGCTCCGCGCTCTAGGGCGGGGGGTAAAGTTTCTCATGCTCATGTGTTATGTTTATGTCCAGCTGAAATCCGCGCGGACCTCCGAGTTCTTATGTTTATGCCATTGTTCGTTTCCCTGGTGAACCCACGCTGGTTTCGAAGGGACGCATTGCGCTCGCGCTCGCATCACGAGGCTGCTCTCGCGGATTCGGAGGCCGTCTCCGTGTGCTCTACAGGAGGAGTATTCAAAAATAGTAAGAAAATTGTACCGGAGAAACAAAACATTCATAATCTTTTTTTGAGGGTTGTAGGGCTATGGGGCTACAGGGCACCCCGGCACCAAGGCACCTGGGCCGGCCACCTAAATTGGCGGCGACGCTCACCTAACCATATGAATTTGCTAGGACCCCTCCAGATGCAAGCTCTGAGTGGGGAATAGTCAGGAGGGGACGATTCTTCAAGTATTTTCAGGCTATTTCTGCATATCTGTGGGGTATCTTTGAACTTTCGCCCCAAATCCGCCTGCCGGAGGACATGCCCGACCCACTATTAGGCGGCCCCGAGGCTCAGACTTCCAGGCCTCCGAGGCCCTTGACACTCCCCCCTGCCCTCTCGGAAGACCGCCCCCGACCTCTCGGAAGGCCGCCCCCGCTCGCATCCCTCCACTGGGGGAGCGACGAGCGACGCAGACATAACCTCTCTCGGAGGCCCGCGCGGACCCCCGAGCTTTCCTGCGTGCGGCATTCTTCGTTCCCCTGCGGTCAACCCGCACAGCAAGGACGGGCGACCTTCCCATACAGTCGGGGCGCTGAAGAAGGAACCCTTTTCGTTGGGGAGTGGCTCGGTGTTCCTTGACTGTTTCAAAGTTTGCCTCGGGTTTTCCTGAGGTTTCCATGGGATGTCGAGGTTGAACTTATTGGGAAAAAGGGGCCTCGTTCCTTATTTAGGGTTCCTTAGGTCAACGCCTCGACTGTAGGGTACCCTGGCATCCTTGCCTCCTCGGCCCATCCTTCGCCGCTCTCGCCGGCCGCGCCCCGCTCGAGGAGCTTTCGGCACGGGCGCCCAGGGCCCTTGCTTGCGTCCTCGTCGTCGTGCCTCCTCACTGCACTCGTCGACCGCACGGTGCGCGCTCCTCCGGGCCCGCCCGCGAGAGCAAGCGACGAGCCGAGGCCGCCTCGGCCCCGCCTGCGGCCGGGGCGCCGAGGCGAGGAGCGCCTCGGGGGCTCGCTGCTCCTCGGGCTCTGCCGTGGCTGCTCCTCGGGCGCTCCTCACGCACCCAGGCTCCAGGCGGGCCTGTCCCTCCACAGCAGCTCCTCCTCCTCCTCCTCCTCCTCCTCCTCCTCCTCCTCCTCCTCCTCCTCCTCCTCCTCTCTCCTCCTCCTCCTCTCCTCCTCCTCCTCCCCCTCCCCTCCTCCTCCTCCTCCTCCTCCTCCTCCTCCCCCTCCTCCTCCTCCCCCTCCTCCTCCTGGAAGGCAAAGACGAAGTCAAAACGCTCATCCAGACGGACGCTTTCAAGCAGTTCACGCAGCTCCACTCCCAGTCCAGGACGAAGCAGGAGCCGCGTACTGAAGCTGCGGGTGATGGTTCTGGTGATGCTCAAATGGATGATGCTTTCGTGTCCACCGCAGAGGCTGAAAGTTTCTGGGAGCAGCACCGAGGTGATAAACGGGTTATCGTGCAAGCGCTGGTGGCCGCCAAGTTCAAGAAGGTTCGGGTGCTCTCGCCAGGAGCTGCGCCTTCAACGGGAACAGTACCGACGGCGGCGCCACCAGCTCCAGGGCATCTTTGACGGCGCACATCATGATGCACTACATGGACGTCGTGTTCTGACACTTCTTCGGGAGTGCAGCGGCACGACAGCAGCAGCCTTCGGCGAGCGGAGCTCGCCGACGGCACCTTTTCACACCAGGAGCGGATCCTCCTTTCGGGCGTCTCGAGTGACGAACTCAGATGCTCGTATCATGGGAGGGACCGAGATCACGTTAAGCATTCTAGTCTGGCCCCGTTCGCAGGCCAGCCGCTGTGCACTGGTTTCAAGATTTCGGCTGGGGTCAGGCTGTC